CTGGGATTTGCCTTGGAATCTGAGTTGCAAACAGAAAAGATGCATGTGTTCCCTGGCACTTGGTGTGTTTCTCTCTCAGCTTCCGTTCATTTGCTTATTTTGGAGGAAGAGTGCTAATATGATAGTGCCCCTTTGTCCTGCTACTTCAGCTCCCTTCCTGACACTGGGGTGTCCTCTCCTGCTGAAATGTTTGCCATTCTCTCTACTACTGTTCTTGTTTGGTGCCATCAAGCCGATTCCCACTCAGAGTGACCCTGTAGGGTTTCCAAGGTTGTAAATCTTTATAGAAGCAGAAAGACTTGCTCCTGTGGAACAGCTAGTGGGTTTGAACTGCTAACTTGTAGCTAGCAGTCCAGTGCTTATCCTACAGCGTTCATTTTTCACCTTTTCAGAAACCATGTCCTAAACCCCTTGTTTAAAATCCCTGCAGGGCACACACCTGGGTAATGTGTGGAGGTGGGTATACATAGACTGCCCACTAATTCTCTACCTAGAGGACTCATCACTTAGATTTCTACATGGCAGGACACTAGTTCCATTTCCCAGACATTGTAGAAAGCTGCTATGGTAATAAGTCCATTTCCAGGCTTTCAACTCTTGTTCACAGGGTGTAACAAAACTGTGACCTCTGACTCTAACACCTGAACTGCATTTGTTATTTTATCTGGTGTCCCTTTCTCCCAGTTGTATTTATTGATTACTGTAGAATGTGAAATGAAATTCTTCTCATGTGTTGGGGTTGAGGTTATATATGTGGTGTTGTGGTGGTGGTGTGCTGTGGAGTCAGTTCTGACTCATACCGACCCTGTGTAGGATTTCCAAGGCTGTAAATCTTTATGGGAGCAGAAATCCTCATCTTTCTCCAGCAGAACTGCTGGTCATTTGAAATTAGCTGACCTTGAAGTTAGAAGCTCGACTTTAAACACTATGTTTTATGCCCTGTTTACAGATGAGAAAATGAAGCTACATGTAGATTAAATAACTCCCTTAAGGCCGTGATGTCAGTAAGTGACAGAATAGGATTCAAACACTTACTTAACTGTCCGTCTCTGCAGTCCCTTCTCTTAACTGCTTCACTTTACTGCCTCTTCCAATTAGTGTTGTTTGAGAGTTATAGATAGTAGATCTTGCAATGGGTTTATAGTAGAGGCACTAGTCTTAGAGCTATGAAGGAGTAAGTTTTAGCTGATTCTTGAAATATGGGATAGGTTTCAGTATGTGGAGAGGAGAGAACATTCCAAGGAGCACCAGTTGAACAAAGGTTCAGAGATAGGACTAAATGAAAAATCTATTTAGGGGGCAGAATGAAGAGATTGGATGACTCTGTAGAAACACTAAACAACCCAATGGACTTGGTTAGTACTAAAGGTTTATCTTCTAGAATGTTACTTAAAAAAATACTAAATGCTTTTATCCCAAGTTCTCAAATTAATTGAATTCTTTTTACTCTCACACACACACATATATATAGGCTGATGTTGTCAAGTGCTGTTGAGTTGGTTTTGACTCATAGCAACCCTGTATAGGGTTTTCATGGAGTGGCTGCTAGGTTTAAACGGCTGACTTTGTGGTTAGCAGTTCAATACTTGTCCTACAGTACTTTAAAAACAGTGCTAATCTTATCTTATTCACTGAGTCAGTTCTCAGATAAAAGTACATTGTCGTTAAGTGCCATCCAATCAGTTCCTACCCATAGGGGCCCTGTATAGGGTTTCCGAGGAGCGGCTGGTGAGCTTGAACTGCCAACCTTGTGGTTCAAACCAGCATTGCAGTCCAGCACATTAACCCACGGCACCACACCAGGACTCTGGACATTAGTGTGCATTAGTACTGATTAGTACATTAGTAAGGAAATAATCGAATAAAATTCTCAGTCTTTTTTTTTTTTTTTAATGTTTTATTGTGAATTATGTGATAGTTTACATGGGAGAACATTAGTTTTACATTAATTCTATCGTATATCATTTCATTGCCATGGTTACAATCCCCTCCATGCATCATCAACCAACCAAAGGGTATATACACTACAAGCCTGCACCCCGGTCATCAGCACACAGCCCCTCTCCCTCTCTGGATCTAAAGTCCCCAGCCGCTCCATCTTTCCACATCATTGTCTCTGCCTCCATCTCTGGCATCACTGCTTCTCTGGGTAGGGTCCCGCTCTCCGCTCTTCTCCATTGATGGTCCCAGGGACCTCCGCTCCTAGGCTGAAAAGTTAATCACTCCCCTCCTTGCTGTAAAATGTCTACCTGTACATTTCCAACCCTCACAGTCAGTCCTGATAACAATTATTCACTATTGTATCACAAAAGACCCACCCGCATTTCCTTTCATCAGCCCCGCCCAGACAGATTGTATACTACTCAGTGGAGATTCTACTTTCCTCCAGGCCCTCTGAGTCTAGGTTAAATTCTCAGTCTTTATTACAGGATTTTTGAGTCTTTTCCCTTTTCTTGAACTGGTTCTGCGCACACCAACACAAATTTGATTAGTTTAATTTGTGATGAAACTGGTTTAGTAGGAGGTATTGGCTGTATATTGCAATTCTGCCAGATTTCAGAAGAAAAATATTATATTAAGCAATTTGGTGATTTTTGGTAAAGTGAAGGTCTTACCGTGAAATTGACATTGGCAGGTTTGTAGACCACTAAACATGGCTTCGTTATTTACAAAGACCACATGCAAATATACCCAGAAAATAGAGACAATGTGAAAACATGGAACTTTTTCAGAGAAATTTCATGTTTATGCAGCTTACTGAAAATACAAATCTTGGTTTTGATAGGAATACAAATCTTGGTTTTGATAGGAAGCTGCTTCCTAGTATATACTTGGAACTAAAAAATCTGAACTCTCTGTTTCACCATCTAAACTTGAAATATGCATAAAATTTAAAAATCACCCACTACCATATAGTCATTCGTTATATTTACAGTTAAAAGAGAGACCCTAAACTGTAGGAACTGAAGAAAGAGAATTAGTGGCTGTGTGCTGTAGCATCGGTTCCAACTCATAGCATCCCTATATAGGGTTTCTAAGACTGTAAGTCTTTATGGCAGCAGAAAGTCTCATCTTTCTTCTGAGGAACAATTGGTAGATTTGAACTGCTGACCTTGCAGGTAGCAGCGTAGCTTGTAACCCATTACACTACCAGGGCTACTTAGAGAATTGGTAGAGTTGGCCAAATGGGGAATTCTTTGTAACTTATATGGATAAGCTACATGTAAGGACATAAAGAATTTTAAAGCTGACTTCTTTTTCTAGAACAGGGAAGCAAAATCCTTTAAAGCTTTTTTGTGTAAGCCTGTGGATTTGACCTCAGAAATCCCTATGGGCAGTCCTGCTCCTTTCTGTCCCAGAGGGTCACTGTGAGTTGGAATCGATTTGAGAACACACAATTTTTTCCTGTAGTTGATTTTAGTTATCTATTTTTATACATTCTTATAAATTCTAATGTTTATACTATATCTAACTATGTTGGAAATACAGTAAACCTATGTAAGATGGAAACCTGCCAGAGAAAGAAAACTTATGTATTTTCCACTAAAATAAGCTGTAGAAAAGTAATGATGGCAACCTGTCAAAGGCGGAAAATATTAAGACCCAGAATGACAAGGCAGTTCTGTTGAGCTGGGGCTCTTATAGATTTCACTGTATTTTCCTCTTGATAAAATGAATGGAAACAGTAGCAAAACCCAAATCCTAACTGATCTGTATATGTGCCTTTGTATTAAAAGGCTGAAACTAAGAGTTTATATATGTATATATATTCATTGAAAAAACTGTTTGAAATGTGTCTAAAGAATGTTTTTTGTTCTAAATATTTCAATTTGTGAGAGATTCAAATTATGATTAGTTTAAATTTTTGGTTTTAAATTTGGATTTACGTTTATAGGATGAGCCTGTAAATTTACTCATCTGGGATTTATTGTTTCTCATTTCCTAATCTTAAAGTTTCATTTCTCTGTTAATTTCTTCATGGGCAGAATGGATTAGTTTATCATTCCAGCAATAGCACAATCTTATATGAGCCTGGGTAGGTTACCACAGTTAATCATTTAAGCCGTAGGCTTTTGCTACTATACAATGGAGTTATTTATTATTTAGCATGTTGTCATTTCCAGCATGTTACAGCTTCTAAATACCATGTAGGTAAGCATAGGCCCTGCCTTTGGGGACTTCCAGTCCAGAAAAGCAAATAATATACAGATCCATACTTTAGATTGTTGGGTGAGAGAACTAAGAGATTAAGAATACTTAAAAAGAAATGGAAACTGTTGGCTTTATAATTATAAACTATACATACTTCAACTGAACGTACTTGGTTCTGACTCATAGAATTCTATTTTTGTTTCCAAGTGCTGTCGAGTTAGTTCCGATTCATAGTGACCCTGTATGGGGTTTCCAAGGCTGTAAATCTTTGCAGGAATAGAAGGCCTCATCTTTCTCCTGAGGAGCAGCTGGTGGGCTCAAATCACCAACCTTGTTCATAGTCCATTTTTTATCCTACACAGCCACTGTGTTCCCAGCAACCCTATATGGCTTCTGAAGTAATAATCTTTACAGAAGCAGACTGCAGAGTAGCTGGTGGGGTCAAACAAACAACCTTTCAGTCAGCAGCTGAGCACTTAACCACTGTGCCACCAAGGCTCTTTTGAAATAAGATGGTGGTGTTTGTGTACTGTGGAGTCAGTGCTGACTCATAGTATAGGGTTTCTGAGGCTGTAAATCTGGACGGGAGCAGAAAGTCTCATCTTTCTACCCTGGAGCAGTTCTCAAATTCAAACTATTAACTTAGTGGGAAATATATATAGCTCTCTGTGTATTTCCCAGCATAAATAAACTAAATATAATAGAAAATTAATGCAATTAGAATGAATCTTATCCATCCTTACAAAGTTGTAATGAACATTTATGAAGTAAAATACAAAAAAGTGTGTTTTATTCAAGAAGACATTAAATCTTATTTGATAAAATGTCTTTTCTTCTTTTCTTTGCAGAGTATGTATGCAACTGCTCTAAGGTGGGAAGCTTGGATGTGAATCGCTGCAGTCAGACCACAGGGCAATGTGAGTGTCTGCCAGCTTATCAGGGGCTTCGCTGTGAAACCTGCAAGGAGGGCTTTTACCGGAATGACACTAACAGTTCTGGGCTCTGTCTGCCATGTGACTGTAGTCCAGATGGAGCCCTCAGCATACTCTGCAACAGGTAAGCAACAGAGGGTAGAGAGGAAGTTATTTTTATTCTAACAAGAAAAAAAAACGTGTTCTCAAGGAGTAGACTAATTTAAATAAAGAGAGATCAATAAGCAAAACAAAAAACAAAAAGCAGCCAAACGCATTGTCATTGGGTAGATTGTGATTCATAGTGACCCCTGTAGGTCAGAGAAGAATCTCCCCATAGAGTTTTTACAGAAACACATTGTCACGTTTTTCTCCTGTGATGCCACTGATGGGCATGAACTGCTAACCTTTCTGCTGGTAGCTGAGTGCTTAATCACTGCACCACCAATTTGACTCTCTGGCAGTTCTCTGTCAATGTATGGTTGCAGCCGTTTTTAAATTATCTTTAGCAAAATCTTACTTGCATATGATATTAATGATATTGTCTGAGGATTGCTGCATTACATTGGTTCACCTCTCTTTGGAATGGGCACAAATATGGATCTTGGCACAGGTGAGTGAGTGCCTCCAATGCTGTATCAGTTTGTTGAAAGATTTCAATTTGTATTCCATCAATTCCCAGAGCCTTGTTTTTTGCCAATGCCTTCAGCGCACCTTTGACTTCTCTTCCTTTGGTATCACTGGCTGTTGATCATATACTACCTTTTGAAATGGTTTATCATCGACCATTTCTTATTGGTTCAGTGACTGTGATTTCCTTCCATCTTCTTCTGATGCTTTCTACATCATTCAATATTTTGTTAACTTCAATATTGCAAGTTGAGACATGAATATTTTCTTCAGTTCCTTCAGCTTGAGAAATTCTGAGCATGTTCTTCCCTTTTGGTTTTCTAACTCCATGTGTTAGCACATTTCATTTTAATATTTGACTTAGTCTTCTTGAGCTGCCCTTTGAAATTTTCTATTTTTCAATAAATTCTGGTTTGTTTTTATTTCAAAACAATGTTGTTGACTTATATAAAGGAATGTTTTGTATGCACTTCTACCTCCTTAGCAGAAATGTACTTTATACTTTACATTTAGAAACAGCTGCTTTTAAGGTTTTATAAATTATAGTATGTTTGTTGTTGAGTACTGTCAGGTCGGTTCATGTTGTTCAGTGCCGTTGAGTAGGTTCTGACTCATAGCGACCCTGTTTAAGGTTTCCGAGGAGTGGCTGGTGAGCTTGAACTGCGACCTTGCATTTCAAATTGACTTTGCAGTCCAGCACATTAACCCATAGTACCACACCAGGACTCCAAGTTGGTTCATAGTTATCCTGTGTAGGGTTTCTGAGGAGCAGCTGAGGTCTGAACTGCCAGTCCTACTGTTAGCAGTCCAGTGCTTATCCAACAGCACCACACAAGAACTCAATATTATACTGGCTGGCTGTGTGCCGTGGAGTCGATTCCGACTCATAGAGACTCTGCACAGGGTTTCCGAGGCTGTAAATCTTTACGGGAGTAGAACACCCCATCTTTCTCCTGCGGAACAGCTGGTAGTTTTGAACTGCTGACCCTGTGGTTCACAGCCCAATTCATAACCACTATGCTACCAGAGCTCCTTAATATTATACTAGAAAACTTTAAAAAATATAGAAATAAACTTGATTAAGGAGCTTATATTTTAAAATTCAACAATAATTAATGTTTATGATACTTGGGGAATCCTGGTGTGGTACTGTGGGTTAATGTGCCAGACTGCAAAGCCCTTTGAACTGTAAGGTTGGTGGTTCAAGCTCACCAGCTGCTCCTCGAAAACCCTGTACAGGGTCGCTATGAGTGGAACCGACTCAACGGCCCTTAACAACAACAACATGATACTTGGCACTTTAAATTAATTTTTTTGTCTTAGTCCTCACAATAACTCCTTATAGGTAGGTTATTAAGTAAAAAAAATTGTAAGTGGCAGAGAAAGAACTCCAAATCAGGTCTTCTAATTCCAACTCCAGTGTCCTTCTACTTCATTACATGACTTCAAGAATGAGAAAAATGTTGATTACTTTGTTCTTTGAGGTTGAGAATATAGTAGTTGCTTATCATTGCTCCTTCCACTCCCCAAAAAGCATGCCCATACAATCTGTAGTCAGAGTTTCACATTCCTTGTCATTTTAAAAGATGAGCTATGGAAAAGTTTGCCCATTCTGGTATCTCATGGAATGTCTAGTACTTCCTTTAGAATAAGATTCTGCAAACAAATGAATCCAGAGCACTTTGAGAGAGACAGAAAAGTATTTACTGGTAGGCCAACTGCCTTATTAGAGGTGAAAGAAATGAGACGATACAAAGACGTTTTAGAAGCTAGAGGAGAGGGAAAATAGTAATACTAATATTTATATAATGTTTTACTAATTTCACATTGTTTCTGACTTACCTTTTTTCTGAGAGTTAATGCCTTTAAGTGACCTAGGCTAAAATAGTATCCAGAAAAAATAGAAATCACAACTTAATAGAAAGTACTTTGGACTGGTAAGAATCTAAAGGTCTAAGGCAGGGATCTGCAAACTACAGCCCAGGAGCCAAATATCTCCCACTGCCTATTTTTGTAGATAAAGTTTTATTGTAACACAGCAAAAGCCCACTTTTAAATATACAGTTTCTAAGTCTGGCAGCTCAGCTGTCAGATGTGAATGAGGTACTCAAGAAAAAAACTGGTATCTAAACACTTAAACCTAGGCACACGATGAAATTAAACTCTGTGTGACTGGAGTCATTCACAGGCAAAAAGCCTTTATTTATATAAAAAGACAGGAAAAGATAAATGTATAGAGAGCAACATTTATTAGTGGTTACTAGCAGCACCTAACAAGAACAGGGGCAGGAGGTAAGGAGGGAAAGGGAGTTAGTGGAGGGAAAAATCACATTGAGTAGCTACATGGCCAAATATTGTAATTATTGTCAATAGTGGTACACCTGTAAAAAGTTGAATAGGTAAAAGTTGTGAAATAGGTATATTTGTAACAATGACACAAAACCAAATAAGATGATGTATGTGTAAATTTTGTAAGTTGCACTTTCTAGCCAAATAATGTAAAATGTTACTAGGAGCCATTTATTGACCATTTACTCTACATCTAGAGCACTATGCTAGATAGTACTTTTATGTGCATTATCTCATTGTATCTTTACAAAACCTTCCTATATTTTCTTACTTTGAATATGAGAACTTTTATGCTTAGAACATGTAGTTAATTTTATAAGTTTATAAAGTAACACTGCTATTCAATTAAGTTTAGCGCATAGCATAGTGAATTATGCATTGGGTTATTAACTGCAAGATCAGCAGTTCAAATCCACCAACCATTCCATGGAAAAAAGATGAGGCTTTCTGCTTCTATAAAGATTTACAGTCTTGGAAACCCTATATAGGGTCACTATGAATCGGAACCAATTAATGGCACATAGCAGCAGCAGCAGCAATATACAAGCAGAGTCCACAGTAACTCTCCAGTGTCTGTTTTTCCTAGTGTAAATCCACTTGGTATTTAACACATGAATTTCCTAGAATGCATCTTTCAATTCAGTGTGTTTTGGTTGATGTTTATTTAAGAAACATTTGTGCTTGTGTGCCAGAAACTCAATAAAACCATATATAACACTAAACAAAACAATGTGTGGGAAGCCTTATGTAGCATCCCAAATGTAGTTGGTAGAATGTCAGAATCACATGTAGACAATTTTAAAAGTCTACCAAATGTCAACAAAAAGGATGTGCAGTATATTACTACATATAAAGCAGCTGTTAACAACCACAGTCATTGTTTTTTCTTCAGGACGTGATGCTTTATAAACTGTTTGCTTCTTAGTATGGGTGTTTTTTACTTATATGTAGCTGCTTTACCGTGTTTTAGTTATACTTTAAGAAATTGCTTAGTGGATTTTGGTTGACATGTAATGATTTGTAATTGTTTTTTCGTGTAAAATATTGGAAAATAGATTCTTTGCTAATATTCCACACAGAATATCTGATTTTTAATAATGGATGTTATCCTTAGTTATTGTTTTTGTTTTGTTTTGTTTTTTAATGAGGATTCTCTATATAAAGTCGTGAAAGGTATGTGCCAGAGTTTTATCCTTTCATCAACTTATTCAGTCTGTTTGCTGTGCAAGTCTGAGAAGAATGTAGCATCAGGATTGGAGGAAGACTCACTAACAACCGCAATAATGCAGTTGACACCTTTGCTTACTGAAAGCAAAGAAGAGTTGAAACACTTACTTCAGTAGGCATTCTACCTCTGCATTTAAAGAAAAAAAAAAAAAAATCCTTACAACTAGACCAATAAGCAATATCATAATAAACAGAGAAGAGACTGAAGTTCCCAAAATTTTTATTGTACTTGGATCTACAATCCATGCCCATGGAAGCAACAGTTAGGAAATCAAACAATGTATTTATTGGATTGGACAAAACTGCTATAAAAGAGCTCTTTAAAGTATTAAAAAGCAAAGATGTCACTTTGGAAGATTAAAGTGTGCCTGCAAGCCATGGTATTTCCAGTTGCCCCAAATGCATGCAAAAACTGTACAATAAATAAGGAAAACTGAAGAAGAATTGATGCCTTTGAATTGTGTTGTTGAAAACAATACTGAATATACTATGGACTGCCAGTAGAATGAACAAATCTGTGTTGGAAGAAATACAACCAAAATGGTCTTTGGAAGAGAGGACAGTGAGACTTCCTCTCATGTGTCATCAGGAGGGACCAATTCCTGGAGAAAGACATCATGCTTGGTATAAGAGAGCAAAAAAGAAGACAACCTTTAGTGAGATTGACTGACACAGTGCTACAACAATGGGCTCAAGAGTAGGAGTGATTGTGAGCATAGTGCAGGATCTGGCAGTGTTTCATGCTTTTGTACATAGTGTCATTTTGTACATAACTTGATGGCAGATAATGCCAAAGTATATTGATTTCTCGAATCTTTTATCCTCTTCTACATAAAATCTGAAGGTCCACTGCCCCTGTAGCTCTTAAAGTAATGGTGATTTTCTCTCTTTGCTCCTCATTGCCATTTCCCAAGTGTTCTTTCATCCTTCCTAAAAAGC